TTTCAGCATTTAACATGGGAGAACAAGGTAATGATCTGTCAGTGTTACGTTCTGGATGTATACTTGCGAATAACTTGCAATTGTTGGAGTCTGAAGATGGATGGTGTAAGTTAGCTGTGGTAGTTTGAAGTTTGACCAAACGGTGGAGTTTGAAGCGTTGCAAAATAGAGAGTGTTCTTGCAACTAATGCTTAACTTTGGCTTTGTAATTGAAATATAAATATTTACCATAGTGGATTGGCTTCATCTAGACTTGGTCCCATGGATGTAGGCATTTTGCCGAACCATGTAAAAACCCTTGGTGTTCTTTATTTTGTTTCATGGTTGGTTGTTTTTTAATGATGAAGAATGAACACTAAAATGAACATAGCAACCTATTCCACTTAGGTTTAATACACTTGGTAAGTGATTAAAACTTTCAGATGGAACTACCAAAGAAAATGGGAGATGATAAGTGAAGTATGGGTGGAAATGTTAAGATATGCCACAATTCGTTGTGAATTGACAGAGCATGCGCAACATCTTTGAAAAGGTGAAGAGTTGCTCACTCGTGTGTATATCTTCTTATGGTACATTTTGGCTTTAGTCAACAATATCACAATGACGTTAGATATTTCTTCTTCTAGTCTCAATTCCACATTTTAAAGGTTATTGCACTCCATTTCTTCTAGTCTCAATTACTCAATTCTAATAGTTTGTGCATATTACTTGTTCATTTATTAATTAAGGTAGGATATGCATTGTGTAATTAATGTTTACTTTCCAGTAGTTGCCATGATTTTGAGACATTAATAATGAGATTACTCATGATGAAAAAGTAGTATTTTCAGCTCTGTGTATTATTGAGAGAAAGACTCTATTCACCCTGAGGTTTTCGTCAACTATGTTCCATGTGTGGCGTTTAAAAATACTAGGATTTACCCTCTTAATCTAATAAACGCTTACATCTATTATTTCAATACTCTTAAGGGTGCGTTTGTTTCGAGTGCATGTAAGATAACATTAGTAATCTATATTTTTTTCGTAAATTACTACATTTGGGTGTCAAGTAATGAAAGATTACAATGAACTTATATTGCAAATAGTGGTTACTGTTGGTGAATGCGGGGGTAATTGGATTATCGTCAGGAGAGGTGTTATTTTTCCATTATTGGGGTAATCAATTATTCATACCAATTTTACCCTTAATTAATAAACATTTTGTGCACAAATGTCCTCGTATGTTTACTAAATAACAATTAGCCCAAATGTGCAAAATGACTTCTTTAAGCTCATATATTATTTTTTGACAAAAATACCCTCACCATTTATATAGATAATACCAAAATACCCCTAGCTACCCAAGACAATTACTAGCTACTGGCAGTCATCGAAACGACGCACGATTGGTAAGATCTGGCCGGTCGTGCACCAATCTAGTAATTTTTGGCTAGATCGAAGGTCGGAAATGGCTAGATGATTGTAGATTTGGCAGAAAACGACCAGAAACATGGTTGTAAACGGTGGTGCACAGTCGGCTACATCCGGTCAGTTGTGCGTTGTTTCGGCGGCTGTCGATGGTGGCTAGCAGTCGACAGTCGTCTTGTGTGGCTAGATGTATTTTGTTAAATTTTAAACTTTTGTTGTTGGGGTATTTTAGCTAAATTCTCAAATATAGGGGGTTAAAATTAATTTTCTAAATAATAATAATAATATTAACAAAGAAGGACAATTCAATAAAAATCCCTCTATAATATTTTATTCTTCCTAACTAAATATATTAATTATTTATACTCACCAATCTAACCAAGCATATTAGTATAACATTCCCTCGTTAATGTTCAAGGTAATCTATCTTAGTAGTAATCCAATCTTTTCAATGATAAAGAATTATGTGAAACAGACGCACCCTAAGAGAAATTCTACTTTTTTCTAGTTCTCACTTAACGCTCTTGTGCTTTCTAATAGACTTACTCATGATAGATCTTTATTGAGATAAAGGGAACAAGTCATCCATTCGTGAATCACTGATCCTCAAGAAAAAAAAAAAAAAAAAAAAAAAAAAAAAAAAAAAAAAAAAAAAATCAATCATAATGACACTGTGGCCATAATCGTAGATTATTTTTACAATTGTTCATGGTTATTATATTTAATTGAAAATCCTCAAGTTCATGCGGACGTATAATTTTCTTAAATTCAGGAAAACAAGATTTCGGCCAAATTTTTGGGTCTAGAAAGTTACACAATTTTGTTTTCTAACCATCAATAATGCTATTTATACAAAGTTGAAACCTCAAACTTAAACCTCGAGTGATGTGACATTGTTGATGTGTGAATAACACATTCATTGTAGGCTGAAATGATAAGAAATTTAATAATTAGGGAGTTAAAATATTTTTTTTCATTATTTTGTTTGTTGTAATAATCATTAGTTAATGAAGAGATATTTTCTCACAAGAAATATGCTAAGGAAAATAAAAGACTTCACAATCAATATTGCAGGAGTTAGGCGTTTATTCATATCTATTGTTTATAAATTCTTTCATATTTGCCATTCATCTTTAGATATTATCCCCACCTCAAAAGTTATTCTTTAACAAGGATAACAATCCATCCTTATATAATTTTTCTATCACTAGTAAAAAGAACTTATTCTAGGGCAATTGCCTCAAGCCCCACTCTGAATTAGAGATTTATTCAAATATAAACACGATGTTTTAAAATTAAAGATTTCAATACTTATGGTATCTTTTATTTCCCATGTATAATATATACTAATTGAAGTTCATAAGTAATTAAAATTATTAATCATACATTTTATATTTTTCAAATTCAAAATTTGTATATTAATAACTTGTATTTCCAATTTTTTTATATTAAATAAAGTCTTTACATTCTTTTGAGCTAAAACTTTTATGAGTTAACTAGCTTTACATTATCCTCTCACACCATTCTCTCACATGACATGGCAGGCCACATGGTAATGACACCCCATCTGCCAAGTTATTTTCCCCCCAATTTTTCTTTTAATTTTTTTTGCAAATTCTGAAATTTGAAACAAAACTTCCCTCTAAAACAAACCTTCCATCAATTTCAAAATCCAAAAAATACAGACCCAAAAATTCTCCCCGAATTTCCTTTCAATATTGTAAACCCTAGCCACCACATCCCTCAATCATAGTCCGTCCAAGTCGCCGCCATCCACCATCCCAAATAGGTTTCACTTAAGCCTTCCACCACCACCGCCAATCTCAGTCGCGCCCCTATCGATCTCGACTGACACTCGTCGTGGTGGTGGTGCGGAGGAACAGCTGACGCACGGCCGTTTAAGGTCGAGATCGATAGGGGCGCGACTGAGATTGGCGACGGTGGTGGAAGGCTTAAGTGAAACCCGTTTGGGATGGTGGACGGCGGCGACTTGGGCGGGCTGTGCTTGAGAGATGTGGTAGCTAGGGTTTACAATATTGAAAGGAAATTCGCGGAGAATTTTGGGTCTGCATTTTTTGGATTTTGAAATTGATGGAGGGCTTGTTTTAGGGAAATTTTGTTTCAAATTTCAGAATGTGCAAAAAAAAATTAAAAGAAAAATTGGTGGGAAATGACTTGGCAGATTGATGATGTGGCAGATGAGGTGTCATTGCCATGTGGGTTGCCATGTCATGATATGAGAGAATGGTGTGGGAGGATGGTGTAAAGCTAGTATTACTCAACTTTTATTTCCCCAATCAAGAAATTATTCTTTAATTTAAATTCCTTCCTCAACACATTCCAATGGTTCATTGATCAATTCACACTCATCATCTTATGGGTCCATCTCCGCTAAAGCAAAAGAAGTTATATCGTATTCTTTACTTAAGAATAATTCATGCTACACTTTTTGTTAACTTCTCTCTTTCTTTTCTATATATATGAGATGGCCCCAAAGGTTATATCATAGAACAACGGAATTGTATTTTAACTTACTGGTTTTGAGATATTGAATTCTTGAATCATCTGTTGTTTTATTTTTGTAACTTAATTTCCTCTTATATAGTGGCCTATCACTTCTTTAAATAATTGAAAAATAAGGATCATATTACTGCAGGTTTGAACAACAAAATCAAGTCAATCGTTGAGTGCATCTTTTGTCCCAAGTAAGTACACAAGTAATTTTATAATAAAAAAAAAAAATGTAAAATAGAGCTTTTTTTTTTTTTTTTTAAGTATGGTAATTGTTGACCACCTCTTGCCCTTGTTACAACTTGAACCAAAGACCCTTTTGATCTTTTAACTAGAATCGTCTAAAACAAGCTTGTTGAATCAGCTAGAATCGTCTTTTGTTTTGCTTCTTTGTAAGCTTTTTTTTTTTTACTAACTCAAATGGATCATATTTTATGCAGGTTTGAACAACAAAATCAAGTCGTTGACTGCATCTTTTGTCCCAGGTAACTACAAGTTATTTTATAACGAAAATAAAACTTATTGTTAAGATACGTGCTTGTAGATTTTTAATTTTGAGGAATAAAACATTGTTTTAAGATTAACATATGAAGTATTGTGGTTAACTATCATATATGTCGACATGCACATAAGCTATTGTATCTAATCTAGCTATCGGTTCTTAAAGTTAACTATCATTTAGATTTTTATTTTTGAGTAATGCTATACATAACACGTTTGAAAGTGATAAATTTTTTTCCCATAATATTACATATATGTAAATTCCTTAAACTAATGTTCTGTTTATTTTTTTCTTGATGTGGTTTCTACTATGAGACAATCAGTTAAGAATATTTGTACATGATATAGGATCAAAACACATAATAATTCATTTATCAGAAATATTGAATAGAGCCAAAATATTTTTTTCAATATATCTGTTTAACTTAATTTTTTTTAAATGTCTTATTATTTTATTGATCACCCTTTCCTGAAAAAATTTGTTTCCTTCAGTAGGGAGAAATTACTAAAACTTCATATCTATAGAATATTTGGTTAATTGTTTTATACTTTTATAGCTATGACCCGTTTCTATATTTTCTTTTATAATTCTTAAGGTTTAAGTTAGTTATGGGTCGTCGATGTTTCAAGGGAAATAGGAGAGCCATGCAGCATTTTCCTGAAAAAGTAAAAAGGCTTTGGAACGGATGGGAAATTCGGGTGCTGGTTTTACTTAGTCTTTCTCTACAGATCATTCTCATCCTACTTGGTTCGCGGAGAAAATACACTGCAAGAAGTTGGATAAGGGTAATTGTTTGGTCAACATATTTAATGGCAGATTATGTTGCAACTGTTGCCTTGGGAAACCTTGCCACCAGGCAAGGAGATTATTTTGAATATAATCTTCAAAAATCAAGCAAGGAACTCCAGGCATTTTGGGCCCCATTCCTTCTATTGCATCTGGGTGGTCCAGATACCATAACAGCTAACTCTTTGGAAGACAATGAACTATGGTTAAGGCACTTTCTTGGACTTGTTGTTCAACTTGGAGTGGCATTTTATGTCTTCTTCCAGTTTTGGAGCAATAGTGCTCTCACATATTTAGCCATTCCAATCTTTATTGCTGGAATTATTAAATATGGGGAGAGAACTTTTGTACTATGGTCTTCGAGTACTGGGCGTTTCAATGATACTTGGCGCAGAGATCGTAATCCTATTGCAAATTTCGCTCAAATTACAAGGGAGACATTGGAGAAACAACAACATGAACCAAACAACGACACATATCAACTCCTCCAAGTTGTTTTTCTGTTCAACATATTTGCACGTTTATATGTTGGCGTAGTTTTTGACTTGCAAACACTTAAGGACAATATCCTTCAAGGAAAACCAGCAGGAGATGTTTTTGATGTGGTGGCAATGGAGCTTGGACTCATGTACGATTTGCTCTACACCAAGGCAATAATTATTTATTCCCGATTAGGAGCTTTTCTTCGTTGCATTTGCTTGTTTTGCTCTGTTTCTGCTTTGATTTTCTTCTCAGTGTTCGTGAATATTCATGCTTACTCACCCATCGAAATCTCCATAACTTACGTATTATTAATTGGAGCTGTTGTTCTGGAGGTGTATCCCATTATTCTTCATTTTTGGTCTGATTGGACGCAACTAATTTGCTCGACAAAGCTGAAAAATTCAAGGCCTAAATGCTTCAATGCTTCTGTATCTCCTCATTCACTTCACAAGCACAAGAGATGGTCAGAATCCATGGGACAATTCAACCTTATAAGCTTTTGCCTCAAAGACATGTGCACCACATGTATTAAAGTTGACAAGTTATTTCGTATCAGCAAATTTCTAGAGAAGTACCAGAACTTGACGTCAGCACATGTGGATCTTGATCTGAAGGAAATGATCTTGAAATATATAATAAAAAAATCTGATCAACAGGATGAATTGCGTGAACACGAAAATAAATCGGATATCTTCCAACGTTATGAAGAATCTGACATCCCATATCATGAAATGGCAATAGCTGCAAGAGGTCATGACGTGCTTAATGGAAGCGAAAGGTTTAAGGATTTTCTCTGGACTATACAGAAGGTAGAGTTTGACCACAGCCTTATCATTTGGCACATTGCTACTGATATTTGCTACTACAATGATTTGCGTAATTGTCAACTCAAACCCAAAATTAGCAAATACTTATCAGATTACATGTTGTATCTTCTAGTCAGATGTCCATCTATAATGCCGAAAGGACGAGGTGAGTTGAGGTTCAGAGAAACTTGTGTGACGGCTAAGAGTATCTTTGAGTCAAAAAGGAATATGATTTGCAGTGACAATCATGGCAATCGAAAAATTAAGAAAGCTTGTGAGGTTTTGCTTCAAGAAGATGTCCTTCATACAAATGAAGTAAATGCTGATCTGCCACGACCAGCATTGGCAGACGGATGTAAGCTCGGCAAGGCATTACAGGAGCTGGAATATGAAGAAAAGTGGGATGTAATAAGTCAAGTGTGGGTGGAAATGTTGACATATGCTGCAGCAAGGTGTAAATGGAAAGAGCATGGACAACAACTTACAAAAGGTGGAGAGCTACTCACTCATGTTTGCCTTCTTTTGACACATTTTGGTATAGGTGCACAATTTCGCGCTTATGGGAAGCCTTATCCATAGTCTTTTTTTTTTTTTTAAGTTTGGAAATGTGAATAAAATCGAAATGAGTTTTCTGTATTAGATAACATTCTATCAATATTGGTATTTTTATTATTTTAGCTTAAGAATTAATTAATCACTTAATTCTTAAGCTACAACAAAATAAGTGACTTTTAAAACTAATTAAGTTTCAAACGGATTATAATACAATCAATTTTATAAAAAAATGTTATAATCGTGAATTCCAATCTTCGATGGAAACGGCGATGGTGCCAACATGCCACCTTTGACTGGTGTTGACCATCGATCACTCAATGTTGTTTGGCACCGATTGGTATTTTTGAAAATTTGACTCAAAGTGTTAAGTTTGTAGAACTTAGGGTTAAATTGGAATTATGAGAAACCATATTTGAGTCTTGTTAAAAGCAGCTCTATTATTTGAGTTGTGTCTACCTGTAATTTATTCATTTCTCTAGAAAATTCCAAGTCTTTCTTAAGTTTCACACTTTTCAGCTAAAACTTGTTTTTCTTCCCAATCCAGAAGTTATTCATTCATTCCTCAACACAAAAGTTATTCTTTAATTATAATGATTTGTCAATTAATTCACACTTCATCTTGTGATTCCATCTCCTCTATATAGCATAAAAATCCATAGCACTACATATTAATTTATTATAGTTTTTAGAAAATCTTAGTTAGGAGGGATTGACACGGGCACTAAGTACTGCACGTCGTCCACATCAATATTTGGGGTTTGTAGATATCAAGTGTGATTAGACAGCGGCATACATGATCCATCATTACATCCTATTGAATTTATTTATTTATTTATTTATTTTTTAATGTGAATAAATTATTGAACTGCATTTTGGAATTCCATCAACACCGATTCCAAACATCCCAGTGATTAGTCATCGAAATTTTATATTAGAGATTAAGAATCATTCGAATAAATAGGAATACATGATATGTCTATAGAAGAATAATTTCAAATCAAAGAGTAAACAACATATTTCTACCGATGTTTGACAAAATTCTGAGTTAGTACCTCTAGTTGTATTTATTCTAGATTCTCACTTTTAAAATAACACTGTTAGCAATTTTTAGGTTACAAAGGGTGCTATTGCCATAATGCCCTTAACCCTAAATTAATAAATTACTTTTTAACCCCTAAATTAGTAGAATTATACTTACCATTTTATTTTCAAATTACTTCAATAACACTCTCGGTGACTGCAAACCCTCTCGATTTTTGCCCGATCTGGGCTGTTTCTGACACTCTATCACCTTCCCCATAACCTATCGTCCAAAACCCCTCTGGTTCTCGATTCATGGGCCCCTTCGATCGTCAGTGCCATTAGGTTTAGGGTTTCGTTTTTCTTTGCCGGATTCCAGACGATTTCAGCGATAAAAATCCAATTGGACACCACCACTGCAACCAACGTCTCAAACTCTATAAAACCCCTATGTCCCCACCAACTATTTAGTCGACATTCGCTTATCCCGAGGTTCGTGTTCATCACATTTTTTGGTAAAGTGGTGGACGACTAACGGTGAGCTGCTGTCGTTGGGAAGGTTAGCAGTTTTGTAGGGGGGATGCGAGGAGTCAAACGGTGGTGGTGGTTGGGGTTGTCACTGCTCAAAACGGTCAAAAACCGACAAAAAAAGTCACATGTCCCAACTGTCGTGGTCGGCGATCGGCGAGTGTTGAGGGGTTGTGAAAGGTAAGATTTTCTAAAGGGGGGATGAGAGTTTGAATGGTGGTGACAAGGGTGATTTTGGGTGGAAGAACCGCCAGAAAAGGGCGAAAATGTTGAGGGCGACGTTTGCTAACATGCACTAGAGCACTGTTAGAGGCGGTATTTGCTAACGTACGTCGTTCTTGCAAAATGATCAACTTACTCCTTTACTGTTTCATTAAACAATTTTACATCACTTTAAGAGTGAGAATCTAAACTAAATGCAACCAAGGGTACTAACTTAGGATTTCGCCAAACCTAGGGTGGGAATATGTCGCTTACTCCACATTAAAATTGGCAAATTACCTTGTCTAGAAAAATGGATAACTCAAAAAATTTCTTAATTTAGAAAAAAAAATAATTAGAAATACATATGTGAAGTTAAGGACTTTTCACTATGGTGCATGATTTGAGCCATCACTTTTTGAGTATAAATTTGTATCAGAACCTGCCTCACGGATATAACTGTCGTGCCTCAGAGTTTCAAAAGTTTAGGAGGATGCATGAACAAGGCCAAATGCAAATTATTTATATTTATAGTGGCGAATAAATATGAATTATTATGTAAGTATAGTTTATATATTCAACATAACACAATAACAAAAACATGATAATTTATTGTTATTTATATTCCTTAATCAATAAATTGTGTTGGAAATGGGGAATGTTACATTTATCAATAAAATAATTTTAAGATGATGTCACAAGTTATGTTAGTTTCCTATAACTGAGAATAATATTTAACAGGGTGCACATAATATATTATACATTTATTTCTTTACCAATTAAGGCTATAGAAATATTATCATGAATTCTTCCAATTTGTTATGTTTTGCTGACTAATGAGATGTCAATAGTTAATTCCAATTACAGAAAGACATAAAAATAATAGAAAAAAAAGGTGAAAACCCATGATTATGGACAGGATCATAAAATTCATTAAATAGATTTCATATCAAATTAAGGTATTAGAATTTCAAAAAAAAA